TCTTAATTCAGAGGGTTTTGCACTCTGTTTTGGTAGAGGCTAATCTCTGAAAAGAAAAGTGAGTTTTCAATGTAGATATAAATCAATTTATTAAAACAGCATTTCTCATACTTCATAGGAAGATTTTCACAAATATGTGACATAACATAATCATATCAGCTCCATCAGAATGCTTTTAATCGTATACATGTATCTCCTATTCTATGGGCATCTCCTACATTTTAGGATATGCACTTAGTTTAATGACATTGTTTCCACAGAAAAGCCAAAATATGCAGCTCAGAATAGCAATGAACAGACTACCAGCAGCAAACAGATTAATCACTGAATTTCAATATTTTTCTTGTTAATCAACTAATTATTTATGAATACAAAGTGTTTCCTATTAAATTGGTCATTGTTCAGAATTATTTAACAAATGCTTTTAAAATGTTTTATACAAACTTATTTCAGCCAATGGATTATACAATTGGTTTGTGCATGTATTTGTATTAGCAATTGGAAAAGTGTGCTATTTTTGCTTGCTGTATAAGTCATATTGTGTATTTCTTTGCATTTATTGGATGAGAATTTCTGCTATATCAGGTGTTTAGCAAAAGAGTTTGTGATTACAAATTCATAAACTACTTTCTCCAATAGTGAGTGTATATCCTTACAATTTGTTCTTTCAATGAATATTCCTACGAGTGAACATTCATGGACAGTAAACATCAAAGAGACACGATCAGCCAAAGCAAATTTGTTGAAAAGTTTGAAAGAGTACTCACACATTCTCTTTTACAGCATTAACCCAGCTAATTCTGTAGTCTTCTGAAACTATACTCAAATACAGAGAGGTAGCTTGCATGAATAGATAATTCATATGCCTAAAAAGTTTTATGTATTATCTTGCAGCTAAATGTAATCATTATTGGTGATAATACAGATAAATGGAACACTTTAGATCTGTATTGTTCAAAGTAAACAAAATTATATTTTTAGTTTCTGCTTCTTGCCCACAAAAAGATAAAAAGAGCAATAAATGTCAAAAGTCATTCTCAACTAATAATTCCCCACACCCAAAAAAGGAGAAAAAATGTAAATGCTAACACAAGATAATTCAATAGAGCTGGACATCCTTGGAGTAAGTGGGCTTGGAAATAAATGTGTGGAAGGAAAATAAAGTTTGATCTGCTAGTGAAATTGAGTAAGTTGGATTATTAAGGTTAATGAGACCTGGACTGATCCAGTAAGTAAATGCTAATGCAGCAAGGAAAACTGCAGTAACTGCTGTGGATGGAACTTCTTCAACAGGTTTTTTTTAAATGTATAGAAAATATAGAAACTTTATTTCTGAATCTGGGATTGGGGGATGTTACTTTTTTCAATATATGTGAACCACACTTCACTTAGGCCTAAATCCTGCACCCACGAAAGCATATATGCTAAGACTAGAAATGGCATAAAAGCTACAGGTCTGCTGTGTAGAAGGGCCAAAGTAGTGGGGAAGATTAGGTGTGAGACCCATTTCCATGGTTCTCTATAAAGAGAACACACATATGTACCCAGTGTGTTCTGTACTGCATGTAGCTAGTTACAGTCAACTGGCTATGTGCACAGTTGTCCACAGTTCCTCTCAGCAAGTTGGAATGGTTGTGACTGGATTCTGGAGGCACCTAGGCGCAGATTCCTTAAACTCATTTCAATCCCTGCCCTGTTTCTGTGGGAAAAAAAGTTTTTACTCAGACTTTGCTCAGGGGATCAAGATTTTAGATCCCTTGCTTCTTTTCTCTCATACCTGATTAAAGAGCCTAGGGTTGAGAAATTGGGCTGAAAATCTCATAAGAAAAGACTTTCCTGTGAGATTTCCTGTCAGTGCTGATTTCACTAAGGCTGAAGAGATTACAGGAGCAATTTTTGCATGGTATTTCCACCTACTGTCCCAGCCAAACCAAGAAGTGTAGAGGCATGCAGAAAAGAAACTTAAAAGAAAAAGGACATTTAGTAATTTTTAGGAAAGAAAAACAAATGCACCTTCCACTCCAGAAATAACAACCACCACACACTCACTCACCAGTTTCTCTGAATTTTGGATGAAGATTTAGGATTCTTATTTTATTCAGACCGACTCATCCATCTGTAAGGAGGAGCAGACCCTGAGGTATTTTGCCTATACCTCCAAAGTGATGGCAGAGGACAAGCAGAGTCAGGTGGCAGAGACTAGTGAATAATCAACCCCAAAACTTTATTAGAAGTTATAGTTATTTGCAAAGAAACCTATCCTGACAAAAGCTCCATTGAAGACAAAAAGGATCCAAAGGATTGATTTATTGACATAAACAGCACATAGAGCACCACCCTGGGACTCATGTAGGGTTGCCAGGTGCCCGGTTTTGAACCAGACAGTCCAGTATTTGAGCTTTCTGTTTGGGAAACAAATTGAGAAAATATAAATGTCCAGTGTTTTCTAAATAAGATGTAATGTAAATTGTGATGTAATGTCAAGGGTGTCCGGTATTTTTGTTGAAAACATCTGGCAACTCTAGACTCAAGAAATCTAAGTTCAGTTCCCAGATCAACCAGAAACATCCTGTTTCACTTGTATAAGTCAGAGCAGCTATCCCTTATTGCAGTTCCTTGCCTAAATAATAGGGATGGAATTCATTAATGATTGTGAGGTGCTCAGATACTCTGATGAAGGCCGTCATATGAGCAGGCATACACCTAAGGACAGTAGGAAAGGTGCAGCAGTGTTTAATAAGGCTCAGAATGAAAATCAGGACTTCCAGAGATGGGGGTATTTAGGAATTGCAGACTCTTTAAAATCTCCCATCTTTAGTACAATAAATAAATAAAATTAACTAACAACTTGTTAACAAGCTGACAATTATATAAACTTCTAACACAGAGGCCAAGAAAGTTGTAAATGCAAAATTACTTTTTGGAACTGTGTTAAGTCTGGACTTAGCCTATAACAATTTTAACAATAAACTAAGTGTCATTTATTCAGATGTGCTTGCCTTTTTATAAGTTCTGTCCCTGACACAAATGTGATAAAAGACTGGTGTTAAGAGCTTTTAAAACAGAATTAGATCTAATAAACTGCTGATGCCTGCGAGGCTTCCTTCCCCTTCCTAAAAAACACTTGCATTAGCCTGTGTAAAGAACTATCATCATTTTAGAGGATGACATTTTCAAACACCGCTCAACAGCAAATAAGATATAAAGTCAGCTGCCTATATACAAATCAACCATTTGATTAGTGACAAAACCTTTAAAGAAGCAAAACATTTTAACGATTATTTAAATGTATTTAAACTCAAACAAGCAGTTGCAATCTCATTTTTCTGTATTGTTCTTGCCCATATTTTAATTCATATTAATGAAAGGAACACCACAAGGATGAAATTTAAAGGTGTATCTTCAATACTGGGATTCATTAGAAATTACCACAAGTGTTTGGGAAAAACAAAGGGGGAATCAATTAGTAGCAGACTAGGTTCTAGCCCTAACCAACAGACAGCTTATCTAGAAATACATTTACACTTCATATCAGTGCAACAGGTCAGTGGAAGAGGGCTGCACTTCAGTAATCTGACTATATACCTAACATGCAGCCAGAATATTGCAATTTGGGCACTGGCTCTGTTAGATAGATGTTCTTAGCATATTGTTGACACAGGCTGACTTGCCCCATCAAGCCTTTAATATTTCATGTATGTTATGTTTCATTACATAACAACTTTTTTATTCATCTCTCCTCTGATGGCACTATCATTAAGGAATCTATTTCCTCAGTGAGAGAAACCTGTAAGGCTGTCTTGAGTCAAAGGTCAAACACAGTCAATTTATTCTCAAAATAAGAAAAGTCTCTCAGCTGCAAGTGACTGAAAGTTAGTCACTACTTTACTCCAAGGAGTCTTATATTTTTCCTTGTCCTTTGAAACAACCCGTAAGTGATAATGAAATGCTTGAAGCAATAAGAAAGGGAATCAGATTTCATCTACCTGGACAGTCTGGCAGCATACTGTGTAACAATAAACAAGTGTTCTTAAGTCACAGCATTGGACTGGAAATGAGGCAGAACTTGTGTATTTTAACAGCTTTTTACAACTAGTAACCACTAGTGAATTTATTTTACTTTCTCGGGGAAGACCAGTGAATGTCCCTAATTTAAACTAAAGGGCCTTTCAGCCTTCAAGACAAAAAGCACTTCTGCTTAGCACCTGAGTAATAACATGGAATATGTACAGGTGAATCAAGAAGACTGGAATCAAAGATAGTTTGTCTTTGGCTAGTCTGAAAAGTCTGACTCATTTCCAGGCTTGTGATCATTTATTATCCAGAAAAGAAAGGCTGGCTTTTTGCTCTGCAAACACAGTGGTGGTCTTCAGCTCATGATGAATAGATTTACCATGTCCGCTCTGAAATGCATGACATAGAGTTTTCCAAAAGTGTCCAACACCCCACCCCACACACAAACCTGATGATGTTTTTAATGTATGCTTTAAATTCTGCAGTATAGAAAGAGGTTGATATCTACCTATATGTATTTTCCCCCTCAAATTATTACATACAACATAGATTTTGTAATGTGACCAAATAGCAAGGATAGGGGAGGGGGTAATGGATGTCTATATAACAAAAAGCCCTGCATATCGGGTCTGTCCCTATAAAATGGGGAAATCTGGTCACCCTACATTTTTTCTGAGATATTATTCAAAAGAACATTTCTTAGAACAGTGTCATATTTTGCACAAATAATTTTACTGGATCATCACTGGCCAAATATAATATTTTCCCCTTCAGCCAGGAACTACTTTTAAATTAGTTTGGGTATCTATTGAAAATATTATTCTTTATAAAAGAAGAAATTAGAACTTCCAACAAGCAAAATGCTAATCTTAGAAGTACTGTATATTCAGGCAGCATAAAAACTTGTGCTGTCACTATTTTAAAGGTATAACCATGGCATAAAGCATTATTAGAAATAAATAATTATAATAATAAAACTCCCTTACTTTTTAGTGCCAGAATCTGGTCTCTCATATCCAGGGCATTTCACAGTTCATCTTTTAAAATAATTTTTCTCCCATGGATCCACTCAGTTATTGACTTCACAACATATACTTCAAAATAAAGAATATGTTGTGTGTAATTTATTATCTCCACAGGTGTGGGTGGCATTCTGAAGACAAATTAAACAAGATGAGGTCAGTCTTTGGCCTGAAGATTTCATAATACATCATGGCTGTGTCTAGACTGGCAAGTTTTTCTGCAAAAGTAGCTGCTTTTGCGGAAAAACTTGCCATCTGTCTACACTGGCCGCTTGAATTTCCGCAAGAACACGGACGATCTCATGTAAGAAATCAGTGCTTCTTGCGGAAATACTATGCTGCTCCTGTTCAGGCAAAAGTCCTTTTGCGCAAAAGCTTTTGTGCAAAAGGGCCAGTTTAGACAGCTTAGATTTGTTTTGTGCAAAAAAGCCCCGATCGTGAAAATGGCAACCAGGGCTTTTTTGTGCAAAAAAAAGCTTTTTTGTGCTTTTGCGGAAAAGCATCCGTGCCAATCTAGACGTGCTTTTCCGCAAACACTTTGAACGGAAAACTTTTCCATTAAAAGCATTTGTGGAAAATCATGCCAGTCTAGACGTAGCCCATGTGTTTGAGACAAAATCTTGGACCTTAATGGGCTTTGGATAAGGCTGTAAAGCTACAACCGTATTATAGCTACAGTGCCCCTATTATCAAAATTAAAAAAAAAAAAAACCTAGACACCTGCCACTCCTTACCAGAGAGAAGCCTACAGTATTCTCTACATTCACACCGTCTCCTGACCTCCTGGGTTGGGGCTGTCATTGGCTGGGCACCACACCTGCCCCACTCCCTCTGGTGAGTCTGCTACTGTTCTGTGTCTGCTGTAGCTCTTCCTGGGGGTAGGGCTGGGGCTGGGAAGAACACTCCCCAGTGCTCACAGCAGCACCAGCTGAGCATAAAGACAGGTGTCCTGTTTTCAGGCTTCCAATTTCCAGAACTGACCACTGAAAAACTGGACATTTGGCTCCTTTTTAAACATTGCAGGACCAGACTGCATGCATCCATGCTTGCTTAGGGCTCCCGAACACCTCAATGGATATGAATAAGTTGGTGGTATGTGTATCTAACCTGAGTGAATGCCCTTTTGAAAATTTGGCCCAGTTCTCCTTTTAAAATGTAGTCAGTGTTTTGTGGCACTCTGTAACAACTTCCAAACATCATGAAAATCTGGTGTTAGTCTTAAGGGTCAACTCTACTGTTTTCAAATTATACACTATACAAACTCTGCACAAAAAAGTAAGATATAGTAGTGAGTCTCTTGTCCAAGGATCAGCAACAATAGCTGTTTTCTCTATAATAATTATATTAATAGTTGCAAGGAGAGCAGAGAGTTATTCCTGAGCTTGCCAGGATATGCCAAATATAGTTTTGCAAAGGACCAACTGCTAATTAAAATCAGAGTTTTCCCCACAGGCAGAATATCACAGAACTAAGAAACTTAACTGGCAACCGTTTACAGTTGTCAACATGATAGTTTAACTGTTCTTTGCAGTTAGAATAATTTTCATCAGTGAATTGGAAGATTACAGTACCTTTTAATTTTAAATACTTTTGTAATGTTTGTGTTTTATGCTGTTGTATATCATACATAACCCAGGATGGACATAGGGTGCTAGAAAAAAAAACAGAAAAAAATTGGTGGTGTACTACCAGTGACCTGAATATTTCTCTAAAAATCCTACCTTTGTAAAGGCAAAAACCCACTATCCATATATTCTATAGGTAGCTTTTATCCCCTTTCAGAAAATACTTCTTATAGGTAAACCATTCCAAAGTTTTGACACGGATTCAAGTTGAGTATTACTGACATCATGCTCTCCATCCCTTACTCCAAACCACATAACTTAATAGTTTACCTCCCAAATTCTCCCTTGTTTTTTCTCCGCCTCCACAAACCTCTCCAACCTCTCCAGCTCACTATTGTACAAGGAGGAGGATGCATTTTGGGCTTACAGGGAATTATTTTTTTTTACTGTCCGTGCAAAGCTGTAATCTGTATCCCCATTTAGCAGCCATTCTATCACCTCCTAGGGCTGTTAGATAACAATACAGAGGCAGAAAGAAGCCAGACAATGACAGAGAATGAGGCTTGAGAATTCCAGAGGATTATTTTCTAAGATCATGGCTGTAGATATATTTTGGGAGCTTAAGAGGGACAATGGTTTTCTGGTTAAGAAATCAATGTGATACTATTGGGAGGAGAAAAGTGAAAAATAGGTATGGAGAATCAGTTTCTGCTTGTGGAAGATAAGATAAGCAGCTTTCAGAACTAGGGTAGCAAGCTCTGCTATTGCGTGAACTGAATGAAAATCATCAGAACATGATGGACATCTGGATGGCATTCAGTAGGTTCAAAGGAAATCTGAGTATACAACTTTCAGAATTAAATTAAGACTTGGGTGGGAGGGTATAGACTAGATAGAAGATCACGTGAAAGAATCTAATTCCCAAAGGGTGAGACCAAACTGGAAATCCATTAGTGGAACGTTAACAGTAAGTAAGCTAAGAGCTGAAGTGGGCACACACACACAGCTGGCCATTATAAACCACATCTGCAATAAATCTAAGACTGGTAAGGAAAGAAGTCTTACATGCTGAAGTCTCTGGAACCTACTCCAGGCAGAGATAGTCACCCAAACACCAGCAAAAAGAAATTCCCTTCATGTGAGAATAAAGCATGATGGAGAGGACAGAATCTTAGATCACCAGTATTTTCTAAAAGCTCTTCATAAAACAAGATTTTAGCATGAATAAGGCCTGGGATGAAGAATGGGACTTTTATACAGGATGTCTCTTTTTCCTAAGAGCTGAATGCTCTGGACAAAAAAGAAGCCCACAGGCCATTAATTTCTTGCACATTCTGGGGCTATTAGCATCTCTTTAGTTTACAGGGTCTTTCCAGGTCAGGGGAAGCAGAAGGAAAGTAAATAATACCTTCTGCCCCATAAACCAAGATGATATTTTGGATCTATACTTTTACGGTTTACAATATAACTTAATCTGGGTGGGAGTTAGATGCAAACTGAAAACTCAATGCTCTTTGTGTATTAGTACTATTATCTGGGTGGGAGTTAGATGCAAAGTGAAAACTCAATGCTCTTTGTGTATTAGTACTTACCCATTTGAATACTTCCTTATGTAGCCAAACAATCTCCTGAGTATTTTTGGACTCTTCTGAACTAATCTACTTACTATGGTTATTCTGGATTCCAGATTTTGGTGGACCATCGGAACAAAGTGGAGAATACTATAAGAAGTGACTAGCACAGATCTGATAGGTCAAATATGTAGGCACTGCTGAGTTGTTTGTCTCGATGACAATATGTTGGTGGCCAAGAAAAAAATTCAAAAAGAAGGTCCAGGCATATTGCCCTATACCTCCAAAATGTTGAACAGCTTTCTCTTACTGGACAAATAATTCTATTAGTTTGCCTTGCTTGAGGAATGAACTCTGGAATAGCCCAGGGAGAGGCATATGTTATGATATAAATACAGGACCCCACAAGTCTCAGGGAAGACAGAGTCAGAATTGATTGCAATTGACCATAAGGACAAGGTTGGCATTAGGAGCCTGTGGGTTGTGATAGATTTTCAGATTATACAATGTACCTAGTATCTTCTGGAGAAGGAGGTAATAGTGGGAGCCTTGAAAAATCATTATCCAGATTGATATAAGGAATGTGTTTTTCTTTGCAGAGACCTTTTTCATGGCTAATGTAAAAAGTTTTGGCCTGTTATCCAGGGTCTTTGAACAACTTAAGTCAAATCGAAATGAATAACAGAACTTAAAATAGCTTCACATTTCCATTACCCTTCTTCCATTCCTTTTTACCTAGATTTAAGTTTTTGATGTCATTTGTCCATTGTTGTAATCAAATATGCCTTTTTACTATATTATCACCATCAAGTAATATATTAAAATTACCACAGACTAAATTATGATCCCAATGCATGCATAGGATTTATGCTGACTTCGTAATTCCCTGCCCATGCATCGAAGGACAGAGTTTATTCCTCAAATTACCAAGACAACTTATTCTTGTACGCAGAGGAATCAGCTAGTGCATGAAATGTTAAAAGGAAATGAAGACATTTCATCAGGTCCATTCAAGAAGACACACAAAAGACACAAAACTATTTTCATTATTATGCATTGTCACCCGCTTCCCAAGTCTTCCATTTGAGATAACTAAGTGATATACATTCTCATCATTTTCCTTAAGTATATTTCAAAAGAAAAAAAATCCTCCACAAAGAAAGTACTAACAACTGACATTTTTGCTTGCATTATAAATGAACATCACTTCAGATAAACAAATCAAGTTCTGCGACAACTTACATAAAGGTCAATCTTAGCATGCATTCTATAAATATTACTTGTTTTGAACTATATGTTTAACATTGTCAACTTTGGTAAATACTTTTCCTTTAAAGGGAAAAACAAATAAGGAATGATAGAAATAAAATACTCCAATGTTACTGGTGATCAGAAGGGGGGAAAAGAAAGGAAGGAAATGATTCCAAAAGAAGAAGGCTGTACAAAGTCCCAGTTTGGTCATACATTTTGGTATTGGTTAGTAAACCAGACCACCATATATAAGCAAAACATTCCATTCAATATTATGTCAACCTTTTACAAAAAGGTCATCATTGTAAATTAATGTTCTATGCACCTGTAAAATCTGATGTGCATTCTTTCAAGTTTTTATTTCAACACTTTGTCTGTCTGAATTACCTCCCACAAGAAACACATAAATTAATATTAGAAGTTTTCCAAATGTCAAAAATGAATTAGTATCACACTGAGCCTAAGAGTGAAAGAGACACCATGTGCATTCATGTGTTCTCGCTACTATAATTCTGACACATTTATATCATGTTCCAGGACTGGCACACGTAAGTAGTACGTATAGTTTAGTGTCTTAGAATACAGTGACAAAAATAAAATGTTATTTGCATAAAGTTTGTTGCAAATGTCCTGGCAAAAAAACCCCTAAAATAATTTTAAAAAACACTAGCCATAGTAAATCTAACAAAAGCTGTTGAGGGGGAAAAAAGTGTACACACTGTGCTCTACACTGTGGTTCTAACC